GAGCTGGTGGGGAGGGGTGGGAAGGGAGAAAATTGTGGCAATGAATGAATGGAAATCCAAAACCTCTGTAAAAATAAAAAATTATTAAAAAAAAACACAAGTGACAAAAGCACACTGCATACCTTATTGTCACAGGAGTGAAGAGTAGCATAGTGGTGACATTGTCTAAAAAGGCAGAAAGGACAGCAGCAATGACACACAGCATGATGATCATGGGCCACACTCTTCCTCGGGAGAACTGATAAGCCTATGGCATGCATACACAGCAAAGAACAAGATGTCAGTGGGCTCATGAATATGTGGCACTCTTCATTTAGTCATGCTAAAGTTTATTAAAAATTTATTTTTTAAAAATCCATTATCAAACGAATTCAACCACAACAGTAGATTTTTACAATAGTTCTTTTTCTTGTCATACTAGATCTGAATAATGGCATTAACTGTATAAATTCTGAAGGCCAAAACAAACTAGGAGGTTTCTCTAGGTTTGTAGTAATGAAAGTGAATATGCTCTCTCTCTATTTTTTAGATTTTTAAAATTGTTATTTTAACAAAAGTTTACATAAAACTTGGATTTTTTTTTTTTTCACTCATTTGTTGTTGCATATTTTGCTCCCTACCTTAACCCTAGTTCACTTTTTTTAAGAAAAAAAAATGCAAGGGCACTCGGGTGGCCTAGAGGCAAGAAAGTGCACTGCAACCTCGAAGGTGAGCTGTTTGAATCCACCAGACGTTCTGCTGGAGAAGGAGGGACAATCTCCTTCTCTACCAGTCAGATACAACTCAACAGTACATACAAAAAAATTAATAAAAATTTTTAAAAAGAAAAATATTCATTCCTTGTTGCATAATTTCCTCTCTCTCCCACCCCTCCCCCAGTTCACTTTGCTGTGCAACTCTTATTCTGGACTGTTGTCACACAAATAATACCTAATCATATATTTATTTTAAATAGTTCTTTCCTTCATCTGTCCCAGTGCAGTGCACATTGTTCATCCCCTCTTTTCTTGGTTTTCCCCAAACTCCATGCCAGTCCTGTTTTACAATAAGTGGTGTTATGCAGTGTTTGTCCCTTTGTGACTGAGATGCTTCATTCAACATAGTGTCCTCCATGGTCATCCATATTGTATAATATTTTATGAGTTCTTTGTTTTTCAGTGTTGCATAGTACTTAACTGTGTGAATATACCAGTTTTTCTTTCCATTAATTTGTTGATGAATATGCTCTAGATTTCAAAGCAATCATTAAAGGTTTTTTATCAAAAAAGCAAAGTAATCAGAGACTAATGACTAAATATTCACATACCTAAAATACAAAGCAATTTTGATGTGTAGCTCTCAATTTGGCAATTTAAGAAATATTATTACACACAAACATTCGGCCTCAGTACTCTTTTCTCTGACCTTCTTCTCTTGAAACTTGCCTAGAAGCTGAAAATGTTGCCCTGAGCCATATTACTTATTAGCATAGTGATTTTATCCAATTATGCAAATGTTATTTTTTAAAAGTGGGCAAGATTTTAAAATATTTGTTTCAATGGTAGTTTTATTTACTAAATTTGCTCACCTCTGGGCCAATTGGCAGCACCATATTAGATGAAGAAGAGATTAAGGTTGTTAGCAATTACAGCTTGCTCAGACACACAATTAACATTCTGAATATCAGCAATCAGGAAACCAAAAGACAAATTGTATTGGTAAAAGCTGCTATTATGAGCCTCTCTAGAGTGCTGAAAAGCAGTGATGTCAGTCTAGATACAAAGGTGCGCCTAATCCAAACCATGTTCTTCTCAATTACTTGTTACGTTTCAGAGAGTTGGACAATGACTAAGAATGACGAAAGAAGAATAGATGTCTTTGAGTTGTGGTGCCAGATAAAAGTCTTGAACAGATCATGGACTGCCAAGAAAACAAACAGGTCTGTCTTGGAGAGGGTAAAACCAAGTCTCTCCTAAGAGGCTAGGATTTTGAAGTTCCACCTTTGGGCACATGACCAGGAGAGAGTGGTCTTTGGAGAAAGGCATCATGCTAGGAAGGATGGATGGACAGTGTAGGAGAAGAAAACCCCAGATAAGAAGGTTTTATACAGTAACTGGGGCAATGGGGATAGGTGTGTCAGAATTAGTGAGACTGGTTCAGGACGGGGAAGGGTTCAGAGCTGTTGTATATACGGTTGCTATACATCGCAGACAACTAAATGGCATATAACATACTATGACAGGTTTGGAAGCAGGAGTGGAATCCACTTTCTAAATAATAAGCCTCCAAAAACTCTATGAACTTTGATAAATGTCAATAACTGTAGAGGAGCTTCAGGCCTTTTGTTCATAGAGTCGTTATGAGTCGTGCTCGACTTGAAGACAATCAGCAACAACAACAACATGCAATTTTATTTTATTTAAGCGAATGAGGTCTTTATTTTCTTGTTTCACACAAAGCTGGCAGAGTTGGTTATTAGTCAGAGACCAAATTCCATATCCTCATCCAACTTCTCCAACTCTTCCTTTGCTTCCACCTTGGCTGGTGTTTCAACAACAGGAGCAGCAGTAGTGTTGGGGGCCATAGTCACAAATGCAGATGGATCAGCCAGGAAGGCCTTGACCTTTTCAGCTAGTGGGAAGGTGTATTCAGTCTCCACAGACAAAGCCAGAATCCACTTGTACCCATTGATGATGGAATGTGGTATTGAGGCCACATTAGGGTAATCAATATGCAATTTTAGAAAACTAAAATATATTCATTAATTAATATGCAACTACTAAATGCTATATTAAACCTACCTTCACAGCACAATAGTCAAAAAATCCTGTTTCTGAAAATATGGCTACTAAGATCATCTAGGAAAGAAAAAAACAGACAAGAAGAAAGTTTTAGTTCATCAGAATATCACAATGGGACAATGGGATGTTATAATCATGAGACATATCCTTTAGGAGAGAGTGCCATAGCCACCAAGCTCTGTCCTCTTTCCTGAAAGGCCATTCTTTCCTCATTCCACTTTACTTTTTGTCTGTGATACCCAGTTAGCTACCTGAAGAAAGACTTTTTTGCTAGTACTTTTGCACCTATATTTTTGTCCAGGGACTTTTCCAAAAGGCACATATCATTCCAGCCATTCTTACAGCATTAGTACTTTCCATTCATAAAATAAACTGTATAAAACAAAAATGCCCAAAAGTCAATTTAAAGACATTCAAGTAAATAAGCACCTTAGCCAAATAGATGGTATCCAAGACTTCCATTAAGATATCAGGGGGGAGGAGGAATAACAGATATATATATAATTCTGGGACTCTTATTTGAGAAGTGGGAGCACTGGTGGAGTTGTCCATATGAAGCTGCTCTGTTAACCCAAGCCAGAGTGTCTCTGCTGCTTCAGATCCACCACCTTCTTTATGTGAGAAAGTGAGGTAGTCTCTTTCCCTTATAATGTATAGCTCAGAAACATGATGAGTTGCTGAGTCAGAACTGGTTTGATGTCAGTGAGTGAGAGTTTAAAAGGAATAAATAAAGATATAGTTTAAAAATATGTTGAAGGGGAAATAGGAATGCAGTCATCAAATAATGAGACATAGCAAAGAATTGTAAACAGAATGGCACAACCACTTTGACTGACTAACTGGTCAGAATTGAGACTGCAGAAGTGCCCACATTGCCAGCTGACTGACTGCAAGAGAAGTATAAGATGCCCTCTTGTTACTCATTATCTCCTAGTGATAGATAATTCTTATACCAGCACTCCACCACCACCAGGTTTCTAGTGGTGCTACCTAGCTCTATCTGAGGCCACATCCTCTGATTTCATTTCTGGCACTAGAAACATGTGCATGGTTCTACATTCAGATACTTCTGGGAATCAACATACTATGTAGTACAGACCAGATTTGGTGGAGGACCACTCTGAGTGGGGTCCTTATCTCTTGCTGAACACCCTTGTTGATATCACATTTGACATATTCCACGGTCATATAGGAGCAGTGCACTCTCTTTGGAGTGTGTCACTCTTGGAGTGGTGCAAAAGATTGATGCTTAAAATGGTTTTCTAGACATTAGGAGCACAAAAAAATGAAACTAATAAAGTAATTCCATTTACAATTGTTGTTGTAAGTCAACTGCAACTCATAGCAATCCTAAGGCCAATAGCTCTGAACCCTGCTGTAACCTGAGCCATTTTCACTGCCTCTGACACACCTTTTATTATCCCTGTCACTGTGTCAATCCATCTCATCTGGGCTCTTCCTCTCCTGTACTGTCCCTCCATACTTCCAAGTATCATGTCCTTCTCCAGGGAATGGTCCCTCTTGCCAACATACCTAAAGTATGTGATTAAAAGCCTCAAAATTCTTGCCTCCATACAGAAGCCCGTTTCCACCACTCCTCTTCAGTATTGTATTGGAAGTACTTACTAGGGCAATATGACAAAGAAGGAAATAAGAGGCATCCATATCAGCAAAGAGGTGGTAAAACTGTCACTATATGCAGAACATATGATAGTATATACAGAAAACCCCAAGAACTCAACCAAAGAACTGTGAGACTTCACTGGGATTTCTCTATAGTAACAAAGGATATACATATAGGTAAGGAAATTAAGAAAGCAATATCATTTACAATAGCCAATCACAAATTGAAATACTTCAGAGTAAAACTAACTAGAGACACAAGAGATCTTCGTAAATAAAACTATAAAATACTACTATAAGATTCCCATCAATACATGGGGCCTTATTTTTTGTCAATGCCTTCAACTTGGTTTCCACTTCCTCCTTCATTACCACTGGCTCCTGTTCATATGGTACTTCCTGAAATATTTGTGTCAGTTATTTTTGGTACAGTAATTCTGTATATTCCCTCCATCTTCTTTGATAATTTCTAGGAAATTCACTATATTGTCCATAACATCTTTCAATATTGTGACTCAAATTTTAAACTTACTTTCCAATTCTCTCAGCTTGAGAAATGCAGAGAAAATCCTTCCCTTTTTATTCTCCAATTCCAGCTCTCTACGCATTCCATTATAGTACTTTACTTTGTCCTCTCAAACTGTCTTTGGAAATCTTCTTTCAGCTCTTTTACTACCACATGTTTTCTCTTGGTTTTGCTTGTCAATTCTATACCGCAATTTTTAGAGTCTCTTCTGACATCCGTTTCAATTTTCTTCTTTCTCCTTTAGTTTTGCAATCACTTTTCAATTTCTTCACAGATGATATCCTTAATACAACACATCCAGCCTTCAATCACTGGTGTTGAATGCCTCAAACATATTGCTAAGATGATATTGAAATTCAGATGGAATTGATTGAAGATCTAACTAACTGAAAAATTTCAGGAAGTACAATATAAGCAGGAATCAGTGGTAACAAAGGAGGAAAGTGAAGCTGCACAGAAGGCATTGGCAAAAAAATAAGGCCCCAGGAATCAATGGGATATCAACTGACTTGTTTCAATTAACAGATGAAGCCTTAGAGGCACTCACCAGTTTATGCCACGGAATTTGGAGGACAGCAATCTGGCCACTGAATTGGAAGAGATCTATATTTGTTCCTATTCCCAAGAAAGGTGATTCAATAGAATATGGAAACAGTAGAAGAGTATCATTAATATCACACATAAGCAAAATACTGCTGAAGATTATTAAAAAACTACTAGAACAGTGCAGAGATAAGAAACTGCCAACAGTTCAAGCAGGATTTAGAAGAGGTTGTGGCACCAAGTATATCATTGCTGAATGAGATAGATACTGGCTGAAAGTAAAAAATACCAGAATAATATCTATTTGTACTTTATTGACTATGTAAAGGCATTTGACTGGGTGGATCACAATAAGTTATGGCTGACATTGAGAGGCATGGGAGTCCCAGAGCACTTAATTGTGGTTATGCAAAACCTATACCTGGACCAGAAGGCTGCCTATTTAAAATTAAGAAGGGAGTGTGTCCACCAGATGCTCTGCTGGAGAAGGAGGAACAATCTCCTCCTGTACCAGTCAGATCTGATTTGACGGTGCGCACACACAAATTAATAATAAAATGAAGGGGAAAAAAAGAAGGGAGTGTGTCAGAGTTGTAGTCTCTCCCCATACCTATTCAATCAGCATAGTGAGCAAATTATTTGAGAAGCTGAGCTCTATGAAGAGGAATGGGTCATCAGGATAGGTGAGAGACTTCAGTGACACATTCTTGTTTGCTGAGTGTGAGGAGGATGTGAAGCACTTATTGCAGATCAAGGAATTCAGTCTTCAGAAGGGATTTCATCTCAATGTCAAGAAAAAAAGACTCTTACCACTGGACTGATATACATTATGATGGATGGAGAGGAGACTGAAGCTGTCAACAACTTCATCTTGCTTGGATCCACAATTAACACCCTTGGTACCAGCAGTCAGGAAATCAGGAGAGGCATTGCACTGGAAAAAGTCTATAGTTAAGGATCTCTCCAAGTTATTGAGGGGTGATGATGTTCAGTTTTAGGACTAAAGTGCATCTGATTCAGGCCATGGCATCATTTGTTATAAATCTGAGAGCTAGACAATGAATAAGGATGACAGAATTGATGCCTTTGAGTTATGGTGTTGGAGATTACTGACCAGCCCACAGACTGTTCTAAAAGAACAAACAAATAAATATATCTTGGAGATGGTGCAGCAAGAGTGCTCTTTGGAGGCAAGGATGATAAGGCTTCACCTCACATACTTTGGGCACATCGCTAGGAGGGGCTGTTCCTTGGAGAGGTATGTGATGCTTGGAAGGGTGGAGGGTCAGCAAAGAAGAGGAAGCCCCTTGACAGGGTGGACTGACACAATGACTGCTGCAATGGCTCTAGTGTGTTAGGAAGTGTGAAGATGGAACAGGGTAAGAGTGGGTTCAGATCTGATGTTCATAGGATCACTTGACTCGATGGCACCTAACAACAACAACTGTGAAAAACAATAAAAGACCTAAATAAATGGGAAAATGTTCCATGTTCATGGATAGAAAGACTTAATATAGAGGAAATGACTATCCTAACAAAAGCAATCTACCAGTTCAATGCAATCTCAATACAGATCAAATTCATTTTTCAAAGAGGTAGAAAAGGCATTTGGCAAGTTTATCTGGAAAGAAAAGAGACCCCAAATAAGTAAATAACTTCTGAAAAAACAAGAAAGAAATGGGAGACAAAGCACTCTCTGATCTTATCTACTACACAACTGTAAAAACATTATGGTACTTGTACAAAGACACAGAATTGAGAATCCAGAAATCAACTGGTTTTCAACAAGGAAGCAAAACTTATCAAATGGGGAAACATACGTTTAACATATGTTCTTGGTAGGTGCTGTTCAATCATTAATATGACTATTATTAAAATATGCACTCCTATGTCTGGTGCCAAAGGAGAAGAAATTGAGAATTTTTACCAAACCTTGTAGTTTGAAATTGACCAAACATACAACCAAGATGATAATTGATGACTGGAATGCAAAAGTGAAGAGGGCATAGTAGTTGAAAAATATAGGTGTGGTGATAAAAATGAGGCTGGAATTAGAATGATTCAATTTTGTATTTACAATGATTTAGTCATTGCAAATACCTTTTAAGAAGACACAAACAATAACTTTACACATGGCTCTCACCTGATGGGCTGCATAGTAATCAGATTGTCTACAATTATGGAAGAAATCATAGGATAAATTCAATATTAGCACTCAAAATTAGGTCTGACTGTGGGTCAGACCATCAATTACTCATAAGCAAGTTCAAATTAATGTTGAAGAATATGAAAATAAGTCCACAGGAACCAAGATATGATCTTGAGTCAATTCCATCTGAATTTCAAGATCATCTTAGGAATAGGT